GATTTGTTTCAAGATTTAGCAGTCCTTTTAGCAGTTCTTTTTTTTTTTTTTGAGACGGAGTTTCGCTCTTGTTACCCAGGCTGGAGTGCAATGGCGCGATCTTGGCTCACTGCAACCTCCGCCTCCTGGGTTCAGGCAATTCTCCTGCCTCAGCCTCCTGAGTAGCTGGGATTACAAGCACGCGCCACCATGCCCAGCTAATTTTTTGTATTTTTAGTAGAGACGGGGTTTCACCATGTTGACCAGGATGGTCTCGATCTCTTGACCTCGTGATCCACCCGCCTCGGCCTCCCAAAGTGCTGGGATTACAGGCGTGAGCTACCGCGCCCGGCCTAGCAGTTCTTGTACTGCTGGCTTGGTAGTGGTGAATTCTCTCAGTATTTGTCTGAAAAAGACTGTATCTTTCCTTCATTTATGAAGCTTAGTTTTGCTGACTACAAAATTCTTGGCTAATTTTTTTTTAAGGAGGGTGAAGGTAGGGCCCCAATCCCTTCTAACTTGTAGGATTTCTGCTGACAAATTTGCCATTAATCTGATAGGTTTTTCTTTATAGGTTACCTGTTGCTTTTGCCTCACAGCTCTTAAGATTCTTTCCTTCATCTTGACTTTAGATAACGTGATGACAACGTGCCTAGGCAATGATCTTTTTGCAATGAATTTCCCAGGTGTTCTTTAAACTTCTTGTATGTGTATGTCTAAGTCTCTAGCAAGGCTAGGAAAGTTTTCCTCGATTATTCCCTTAAATATATTTTCCAAATTTTTAGATTTTTCTTCTTTCCCAAGGATGTCAATTATTCTTAGCTTTGGTCATTTAACAAAACCCTAAACTTCTTGGAGATTTTGTTCATTTTTAAAATTCTTTTTTTATTTGTCTTTGTTGGATTCAGTTAACTAAAAAATCTTGTCTTTGAGCTCTGAAGTTCTTTCTTCTGCTTGTTCAATTTCATTACTGAGACCTTTCAGTGCATTTTTCTCTATGTGTATCCTTTATTTTCTAAAGTTGTGATTGTTTTTTTATTTATGCTATTTCACTGAAGACTTCTCCCATCAAATCTTGTATCATTTTTTTGGTTTCCTTAAATTGGACTTCATCTTTTCTTGTGCCTCTTTGATTAGCTTAATACTTGCCCTTCTGAATACTTTCTTCAGGTAAATCAGGGGTTTCTTCTTGGTTTGGATCCATTGCTGGTGAGCTAGTGTGATTTTGGGGGGTTGTTAAAGAACCTTGTTTTATCATATTACCAGAATTATTTTTCTGGTTCCTTCTTATTTGGGTAGGCTGTCAGAGGGAAGATCTGGGCTCAAGGGTACTGTTCAGATGCTTTTGTCCCACAGGATGTTTCTTTGATGTAGTATTCTTCCCCTTTTCCTAGGGACATGGCTTCCTGAGAGCCAAACTGTTGTGATTGTTATTTCTCTTCTGGATCTAGCGACCCAGCCTGGGGTATCAGGCTCCAAGCTGGTCCTGGGGGTTGTCTGCAGGTCTCTCAGCTGTGGATACCAGCACCTGCTCTGCTAGAGGTGGCAGTAAAATGGACTTTGCAGGAAATAAAAATAAATAAAAGTTTCCCCTTCAAAGCTTTCCTCTTAGTTCATTAGTTCAAATGATAGTTTCTTCAAAGGTTAATTCACTTTAAAGCTTTTGCTAATAATTTTAAAGTAGCCGTTAGTCATAATAAAGAAATAAGTGCATCCCGTGTTTTTAGTTCTTACACTTTAACCTAGATATTTGCCCTGATGGGCCTGGACAAGCTCAGGCAAGTCTTAGGTCAAAGCTTATTCCCCTTCCTTATTTGAAAATGTTATCACTTCTCTATGCATTCCTCAAGTTACTTCCTCTTTTCCTTAGTTCCCCACTGCCTTTACTTCTTTAGAAAATGTCCAAGTTTTTAGCCAATTGGGTCAAGCATAGAATGTGAGGTCCTGTTCCAGCCAATGAAAACTGGACACAGCAGTAGGGTGACTGCGTCAGGTTGTGAAAGTTGTAAATGTCCGTGTCTCCCTTGTTCAGGTGTGCTCTCATGGCAAGACTACCACCAAGTTGCACCCTTCCTGCAGGAAGTAAAGCTAGCCTTGCTGAGTGATCCATTGTCTCGGTATGGATTTTTCCCAATGTTATAAAACCATTTCCAACAGACTTTGTGGGGGTCTTTAGTTTGGGTTGTTTAATGCAGTGTTTTTGTGCTGGTTGATTTCCTGCCAGGAGGGGGTGCCTTCAAGAGAGCATCAGGTGTGGTAGTATAGGGAGAATAAGGTGAGGGGTGGGGCCCTAGAACTTTCAAGAGAATATGCCATTTGTTTTCAGCTACCAGGGAGGGCAGGGAAGGACCATTAGGTAGGGGCAGAGTAAGGCATGTCTGAGAGCAGACTTTTCTTGAGTGGGGCTTGCTGTGGCTGCTGTGGGGGTTGCGGATGTGGCTATCAGGTCAATGGAATTACGTTCCCAGGAGTATTATGGCTGCCTCTGCTGTGTCATGCAGGTTGTCAGGGGTGTGGGGAAAGCTAGAAGTACAGGCCTCACCCAGCTCCCATGCAACCCAAAAGATCAGGCTCACTCCCACAGTGACCCCATCCAACAGCACAGAGTTTGTTTCCAGGCAGGAGGTGAGTAGGGCTGTGAACTTGCTCCACGCTACTAGCCTCCTAGCTGAGAGGGCAACCAAGACTTTCATGCTTGCCTCCCTGCCTGTCGAGTCTGCATACTGGATTTATGCCCTCCCCTGACTTCTGGCCAGAAGACAGTGTTTGTTTGGAATGGTTGCAAAGTTTAGCTGGAGGTTTCCGTCTCCTGTGGTCTTTTCTCAGTTCCTCTAATAACCCTCCTCAAGGCCCCCTGTGAAACAAGTCAAAACTAGCTTTTCTTGGGACCCAAAAAGGCCATAGGACTTTTCCCACTGCTTCCTTCACCCCTGTATTTCACTCAGCTCTCTAAATTGACTCAGCTCCACCTAAGGTCAAATCCTTCTCCTGTGACCTAGACCTTCAGGTTTCCCAGTGAGGGTGTGTGTTTAGGGGCAGGCAATTCCCCTTTCCCACTGTCACAGCTTGGGCACTCACAGTATTTGGGCTGTCTCCCAAGTCCTGCAAACAATCCACTTCCTTCAAAGGGTCTGTGGATTCTCTCAGAATCTTTTTATTATCTTTTTATACTTATTTTATTTTATTTTCCTGGTATACTCCTGCAGTAGTTCTGGAGCAAAAGTTCACAGTGTGAGTCTCCACATGCTGCTCTGTCCATCCAAGCTGAGGCTGCCAGCTACTTTTGCCTCCTAGTTGCCATCTTGACTTTCTAATAATCTTTAATGACTTTTGATTTAAAGAATCCAGCCAGTATTCAAGCAAATGGGCTGGATTTCCAACGCTGTATTTTATTTTATTTATTTATTTATTTAACTAGGACGTAACAGCCAAAATGCTCAAGGTATCTGTATTATTCAGGGTTCCCTAGAGGAACAGAACTAATGGAATATATATGTGCGTATATTATATATATATACACACACACACACACACACATATATATATTCCATATATATATACATATATATTCCATATATATGAAAAATATTTCATATATATTCTTATATATTATATATATTCCATATATA